GTGAGTAGCAACTGGGGTCTTAAAAGCTTTCAAGCGGCCATATAAGATGCAGCTAAGAGTCTCCTAGGTCAGAAGGAAAGAAGAACGCAAAAAACAAAACAAACAAACAAAAAAAAAACCCAAGGGCATTTGGAAGCAATCAGCCATAGGACACAATGTCCCTTGAGACCAGAAGAACTAGATGGTGCCCGGCTACCAATGCCAACCACTCAGGAAAGGATCAAATCTAGAGATCCTGGATAGTGTGAGAAGGAAAACATGGAACAAAATCCAAAAACTCAATAATGACCAGAATTACTGGTCAGATGAAATCTGGAGACCCCCCAATACTATGGCTCTGGAATACATTCTGCACCTGGAATAAAATGCACCCCCAGGGCCTGGCTCTCAGCCCAGTAGTTAACAAGATGTACACGCAGACTGCTCAATCCAGGATGACGCACCATATACTCTACGGTAATACATTCCTTAGAGCAATAGACCATGGAGCACCAAAGGACCAACATTCAAACTGAGGAAATGCAAGACAAACAGGAGTGCATAAATATGAATGGCATGGGAATATAAGAAATAATATAATATAACCAAAAAACCAAACAGGGGAAGGGTTACAGGGTAGGGAGGAGAGGAGACTGGGTTAGGGTTGGACATGGTAAATGGGGAGTGAAACTAAATGTACACGTAATGTTGTGAATGTAAAACAAGTTCTTAATAAAATAAGACTAATCTGTCTATAATATTACAATATATATACCTGTAGAATATGAATATACACACACACACACAAATATATATATATACTCATATACAATGCAGCACAATGCAATGTACTGCCATGGAGTCAGATCTGACTCATAGCAACCCCTCCTTGGGTTTCTTACGCAGTATCACTATGGAAGTACATTGCCCAATCTTCCTTCTGAGGAGTGAGTGGCTGGTGGGTTTGAACCACCAGTCTTCTGGTTATCAGTGAAATTCCTTAGGCTCCATGCCACCAGAGCTCCTATACTTATATAAGTACCATCTAATTCTTATATATGTAGGAAAACAATACTGAAAATGAGCCCTTTCTTTCTTCCTTTTTTTTTGGTGCCATTGAGGAAAACTGTTGTATTACAGCATTAAAACTAGGAGAAATAATCTTAACCAGAGGCATGTTCTTTTTTATATGTCTCTTTCCTACCAGGAAGTTACAGCTATGGATAGGTTGCAGGCAAACTGATGTGTATTTGTGAATTTTGCATTGGGAAAGATGTTCCCCTGGAAGTACAAAAAAATCAGTCAATTATTGATTCATATTATTTCTTAAGGAGCTCTGGTGGCGTAGTACTTGAGGCATTTGACTGCTAACCAGAAGGCTGGAGGTTCAAACCCACCAGTCACTCTTCGAAGACTGGGCAATCTACTTGCATAGTGATACTGCCTCAGAAACCCAAGGAGGGGCCACTATGGCAGTGAGTTTGGTTTTTTGGTTATATTATTTCTTAGATCTTTAATACTGAACATAGAAATGACTACACATAGTATGTATTTGTTCACTATTTGGCTCAATTTTATCCCAGGCTGGTCAACTGAGCTGTTATTACAATCTGTAGCTATGCTGTTGATCTATGTGTAGTGTCTCTAAATACCCTGCACAATCTGCATGACTAATTCATAGGCCTTCTCTGCTCCTCTTCTTCTGAATGTTTATTGCCTGAACAAGTATCAGTTAGTGATTAGGGTATAGACAGTGACTAGGATAATAGAATAGAGTTTGCTTAGTTTGGTGTCGAGCTTCTTGCATGACAGGGTTGAAATTCAGATTGGTCTTGAATATAATAGACACAAATAAGCAGAATTAAGACTGTTTGGGAAATACAACTTTTGGAAAACTCAGTATGCCATGAGGACTGTCTATGTGGAAGTTTGGGGTGGGAGGAGAAGGGGAGTCATTGTGAGTCAGCAACATACTACTTTATTTTCTTAATTATTGGGGACACACTGCAAGTTCACCACAGGAGCATATATGTGGGAAGGGTGGGGTAACATTCCAAAATACTTGGCATTAGTCAGACACTTTTTTAGAATTCTGTGTCCACTTGGACCAAAGGAAAATGTGGAGAATTTAACCAGGGTCCATAGCATGGCAACTAGATGCAGAGGAGCACTGGAAAATAGAACCCACTGAAAGAAGTTAATAAGGATTAATTACTTAGTCTGATAAAGCCTGCTGAGGGTGATTAAATTAATGGTCTTCTGTTGCATGTATGGTTATTATGTAGAAGATGATGAAATTATTTCCACTATGCATAGAATTGGGAAGATAGACTTACATTAACATTAAAGGATATTTTGAAGGGGCATAAAGGACCCTGGTTACACAATGGCTAAGCATCCTGCTGCTAACCAAAAGGTTGCCAGTTAGAACCCACCTAGTGATTCTGCAAGAGAAAGACCAGGCTATCTGTTCCCATAAAGATTACAGTATAGAAAACCCTATAGGACAATTTTACTCTGTCATATAGGGTCACTATGAATCAAAATCAGCTTGATGGCCCCTAAAAACAACAAAGAACTTCTTGACTTTAAGGACTGTTGTACAGTGGACAGACTCCTCAACTAGGAGTACGAAATCATATTCCTTACAGAGCAGGAGTAGTGTGGGAATTGCTTGCCAGTTTCAGTTAGGCACAGTTGGCATAACGATTGACAAACTTTCTAGATCTCATTTCCTGCTGTCCAACTCCCATTGTGGCTAACTTTTCCAGGGAATAAACCAGTAGTCTCTTTTGCTTGTAGTTTTTCATAGTTTTTTACAAATGTGAAGTCCTTGCTTTTAGTGATTCCATAATGCATTTCAAGCAAGCAAGAGGTTAAACTGCAAATTGAGAGTTACTTCACATGCAAATCACTGCTCATTCTTAAGATCTCTGCCAAAACTGTCAATTCCAACTTACATTTTCTTTTTTTTTTTCTTTAGAAAACTCACTTCCTGTCGTCCTCACTTGTTCTAAGATGAGTGCCAAATCAACCATCAGCAAGGAAATTTTTGCACCTCTTGATGAAAGGATGCTGGGAGCTGTCCAAGTCAAGAGGAGGACAAAGAAAAAGATTCCTTTCCTAGCAACTGGAGGTCAAGGCGAATATTTAACTTACATCTGCTTATCAGGTAATTAAAACTAAAAGTTTTTAAAAACAACCTTTGTTTTAAAAGTTTTTTTCTAAGGAATCCAGGAGAGTTACATGTACAAGTTTCATACATGTTAACTCTTCTACTCCCATCTTGTCTTTGGTCTTTATAAACTTGTGGTCCTTCTGCTTTGAAGTTGCCTTGTTTTGGAAGGATAGAGAAGTTCAGTTTTAATGTTATTTTCCAGCTCATTAAGAGTTTCTGTAAAGGGTATGGTAGGCATACTTGAAGGATTATTTGTTTGTTTGCTCATTTTTTCCTTCACTAGAACATTGACAGAAAATAGGCTATCCTTTGGGATTTTAGTTTTAGAACAATTCCTGGTATTTGGATAAATGTCGTTACAAGCAGCCTGAATTGGACTGACTTTCATTTTCTTAACAATTGCCAATAACAAGTAGTAGTCAGTAATCTTGTCTCAAGATAAACATTGGCACCTTATAGAATGTGAGAAAGTATATTCAACTCTCAAATCACTGCTTTGCCTGACAGCTGTAGGCTTGTCTGGAAGAGGCATCTGTTTTATTAAGCTTCAAGTTTTGTTGGATTATGTTTTTCCCTTTCTGTTTGTGATTGTAGGAGATCTTTAGGATTTACTGTGGATTTATACCAAGTTTTTAAAGATAAAATTTGGATGAATTTTCCAGGGAGTTATGATGAGTGATGCTAATCTGAAAACCTGGGGCATTTGTAATATTTCTGATAATGAGGCAATGGAAAAATTAAGCCTTAATTCATCCTTTTTTTTTTTAAAAAAAATGTCCTCTAGTTGGGGCTTGAGAATAAACTGTATTTTGAATCAGTGTTCAGCTTTTTTTAAATTAAGGCTCTGATCATTTAAGTTCATCAGAATTTTAGGTTGGAGATAGCTTTTTTGAGAAAGTATAAGGATAATAACAATGATTTTAACAAAGCTTAAAATAAGAAGGCGTATGAAGAAATGACCCGGGGAATGGCTTGTGGGTTTGAATTGTGGACCTTACAGTTAGTACCTGAGTGCTTTAACAGCTGCACCACCAGGGCTCCTATATAAGGATTCAAAAAACTCACTGCCGTCTAGTTGATTCAACTCATAACTACCCCTCCTTGGGTTTCGGAGGCGGTATCACTACAAAAGTAGATTGCCCAACCTTCCTTCTGAGGAGTGGCTGGTGGGTTTGAACTGCTAGCTTTCTGGTTCTTAGAGGATATTTACATTCTTTTACTGTGTCAGGCACTGCCTAGCACATAATAGATGCTCAATTATTATTTAATTACCAAGTGAAAAAAAAATAGCTATTCATAATACCTTCCCAGGATTGTGTTAATGAATATGTTTATATTCTTAAATTAAGATTGTATTTACTTTCAGCAGTAATGAATAGAATGTATTATAATAGAATTTGATTTGTGTTTGGGCTGAGCTGAACATGGACTGAGGATGAACATTAGTGATTATAATTTTGTTAAATTGTATTCTTTCAATGTTTCACTGAGATTTCTTATAGATGAGTTCATTGAAGGAAAGGTGGCCAGAAACTGCTTGAATTTTACCTAATACATGCATGTAACTGAAAAAAGAAGGCAGAGTTTGTTTGTTTTTGCGTTTTAGGCATATGCTATTATCTAGCCTATTTCTGATCATGAAGTCTGCAAGAATAATACAGAAACTCTAACAACTTAATCTCAGTGAAAGAGCATAACATTTCTCCTGTCATCAAAGATAGTGACCTGGAACTTACTGAATAGTTGCATTTCCTTTACAAATTAGCAAAAGCTTCAGGTTTCAAGTTTAAAACTACAAGAATTGCTTTTTTTTGTCACATTCTGATGGAGGAAAATCTTTTGTTCTGAAAGCCTTCATCCTTTTCATGGCTTTGAATTTTGAGAGGATAGGTTGAAAGTTGGTCTGATACTTACACAGATGGTATAATGGAAATTGGAAAAGAACAAGGCTGGGCAGTTTAACACCTGTTTTTCACACTTTGAAAGAAAGAAGCAGCCACCAGTTTTCTAGCATATGGGAAACTGAGAGAGGTATCAGTCACATGCCTGATGTCAGTCTCCTAGGGCTGCCATGACAGAATACCACAAGATAGTGGCTTTAAAGAAAAGAAAGTCCAAATCATACTGGACAATTCTTTTGAGTGGTCTCAGAGAGGGACTGTCCCATGCCTTTCTCTGTGGCCCTTGGCATTCCTTACCTTAGAGAGAGATGCATCTTTACATGGCATTCTTCTCTGCACTCCTTATGTATGTTTCTGTATCTGTTTTTCTCTTTTATAAAACAAAACTCAGATGGGATTAGGACCCACCCTAATCTGGTGTGACCTCATGTAAACATAACTGATAAAATCTTAAAAGACCCTATTCCAAACAAGCTCACATTCACAAGTACAGGGATTAGTACTTTTGGTTGATACAGTCAGTCCATAATACCAAATAAGGTAATGTTTTGATCTATCAGTTGGTGAATTGGTTAATTAACAAATTTGTCAAATATTTATTAAGTCCCTTCTATCTGTTGATCAGGATCACTGAGGGGAGCAAATGGTTAAGGTCTCAGCTGCTAACCAATAGGTTGGTGGTTCGAGTCTGCCTAGAGACACCTCAGAAGAAATGCCTGACAGTCTACTTCTGAAAAATCACTCACTGAAAACCTTACCGAGCACAGTTCTATTCTGAGTCACATAGGGGCACCATGAGTTGGTATTGACTTGACAACAACTGTTATTATTATTATTATTATTACGTGCTGAGCATGCTAACTTCACTCATGGAACTTACCTCATTCGATAGGGGATAGTCCAAAAAAAACAAACTCACTACTGTCGAGTCAATTTGACTCATAATGACCCCTCCTTGGGTTTCTGAGGTGGTATCTCTACAGAAGTAGATTGCCCAATCTTCCTTCCAAGGAGTCATTGGTGGGTTTGAATCTCCAGCCTTCTGGTTAGCAGTCAAATGCCTTAGGTACTATGCCACTAGAGCTCCTGGGGGATGGTCAGTAGACATTAATTAGTTGCTCACTAAAAGAAACATAATAATAAACTTTGAAAAGTTTAAAAAGTAAAAGTACAGTGATATGAAAGCCTGTATGAGTAGAATTTGACCTGCTTGTGTTTTGAAGATAGGTAGTATGGTGCAGAGGGCATTCTAGACACAGGAAATAGTAGCTTTGTTAAAAGACTGAGATGGATTTAGTGCTTCTTTTTGACTCTATTCAGTCTAAGGATAACCTGTTTATAGTTCAACTCACATAGGAGGCTGTGAGGTAAAAGCAGAGCCTGGAATGATAGTCTCCTTGATAATAGTGTAAGCTGCCTGTGCTTTCTTGGAAGCCAGGTCTTTAATGCTTGTGATTTCATTGATGAAAACCAGCTATCCATTTTGAACAGGCAAAATATGCCCAAATTAGTGTGATGTCTGCAAATAATTTTTAATCACTCTTCAACCAGCATAAAGAGTTAAATTTTTTAAAAACAAGAAAAAATAGTATGGCTGTGGTGGTTAAGTTTGTATGTCAACTTGGCTAGGCCTGGTTGAGTGGCTGGGCAGTTGGATGTAGTTATTCCCCATGGTAAGATTGGTAATTATCTCCATGGTGGAATCTACTGTGAGCAGCTGAGTAGCTGCCTTTGGGTAAGTGGTCTACTTCCCATATATAAGAAACAGCTTTGAGAATGTCCTCAAGCTTATGGCAAGCTTGAACCCTGCATGTAGACATGTTGTTGTTCAGCAGCCTGACATGCTCTGCTGACCTTGGGACCTTCAGTGGACTTAAATTAATGGCCTGCTGTGTGGTTTGGTAACATCAGGACTGTGCCTTTTTACTTGTCAACCTTGGGTTTGTCAATCTCAGCAGCCAGCACTGTCTGAGTGAAGAAAAGCCTTTAGCTTGGAGCTTTAGCCTGGAGCAGGAGGCAGAGCTGAAGCCTAAGGTCTTTCACCCCACCCTTAGAGCCTGGCACTTTGAACTCAGACTTAAAGCCTCCAAAGTGTTAGAGATTAAACTCCTGTTTATTAAGGTCATCCCATTTGTGGTATATATTCTTGTCAGAGTCCCACTAGGTAACCAGAACAATGGCTTTAAAAGTTTGCCAAAATACGGAGAAAAAAAGAGCATGGGTGTTTTATATATCCACAGTGTCTTTTACTAAGGTTTCTTTGTGTGAATCTTTTTTTTAACCAGGGTCTGCTAGAATTTATGATCTGTGAAATAGAGGTCTGTGATCATAAGTTATATATGGGTTATATATATCCTCTGGAGATGTCAAAAAAGACACTGGAATGTAAGAAACATTACGATCTTTCTTATTTAGCTGTAATTCTGTAAGGAGAGAGGTAATCTTTCTGGTTCATTCATAAAGTCTTGGGATTGGATTCACATGTTTCTTATTGGACTTCCTGATTGGCTTCTTGAATGGTGCATGTGCTTGTGTACTGAGATTCTTCTGTGATTAGCATTTTTAAAGCTTTGGTTTCTACTTTCTTTTCCACAATAGCTTAAAATAAAAAAAATAAAAAAAACTGACACTATGAAGCGTTAACAAGCATGTGGAATGATTGGACCTTTCATATGTTGTTATTGGGAAAGTAAACTATGTAACTACTTTGGTAAACAGTTTGTCAGGTTTTTTTATAACATTAAATATGCACTTATATGACCCAGCAACTCTGTTTCTAGGCATTTATTCAAGAGAAATGAAAACATTGACCCACATAAAGACTTATATACAATTGTTCATAATAGCTTTATTCATTATAACAAAGAAAACCTCAAATATCTATTCTCATGTGAATGAATAAACAAATTATGTTTGTGCAGTGGAATACTACTTGGCAATAAGAAAGATAAATGAACCCCAAAAGCATTATATTGAATTAAAAAGCTATGTACAAAAAAATCCCACAAATTATTTGCTTCTATCTATATACAATTCTAGAACAGACCAAACTAAACTATAGTGACAAAAACCAATCAGTAGTTTTCAGGGGCA